GGCCGTTGCCTCAGGCGTTCCCTCAGCGCTGCCGCCGCCTGGTGACCCTGTAAAATCACAATTTATATACTCCCATTGTAATAATTTAATCGCAGTGACACTTCCCCTCAGCAAGGGGAGGTGGTTGAAAGGCGACTCAGTGCCGCTCGGTGTGGGGAGGGGGGCGGCGCCTCAAATTCCTCTCATTAATACCAAAAGCAAGCTTATCCTCATCCAGGAGGCCGGCTTTTTGTGGCGGCGATGGTTTCCGACCTCAGCAAGACGGCTGCAATGCCAGACATATTGTCAGAATGAGTATCGCTGCTGACTGAAAACGGTGTAGCAACGTACATCCGCCCTGGAGAATGCGGTCTCAATCTTTAATCCGTTGCTGAGGTTACGTATTTCTGAAGCTGCACCCCAAAACGTAGTTTATTTAGCTTAACTTCAGCCCTTTGCTTTTTTCCGTTTGTGTTAAAGAAATAATTAACTTTATTTTCCTCCTCCTGGCTCGCTGAAGCTGAATTCCCACTGTTGGAAAGGGATTAGTGGGAGTGACGCTGTATTAGGCAATGTAATTTAAACCAAACAAATGTAGCACAGACTGTGGGCTGGGGTGTTTTTTTTTTTTTTTGTTTGACATCACCATATTTACCTTGGGCTTTCAGCATTTATTTTAAACATACCTTCAATTGGAGCCAAAGCAAGCACTATTTTTAGTTCAACAGTTCCAGGCTAATGCAACCTTCAGTTAGGAACTTCGGTTTGGTAGAAGCTATACAACTGCTAGCCAGATCGTGTCGCTCTTCCACAGAGTACTTCCAACTTGGAGAAGTGTCACACCGACAGTGACCAGTGACGAGGTGAGTCATTGTCACGGTAATACCAGGTCACACAGTCATGTGTCCCCCTGGGCTCAGTCCTTTCCCTGCCAGGCTGAAGGCCCAGCCCCCAGCCAAGCCCTGGGGAATCGCCCAGGTCAGGATCTAAGGTTAGGGTCTGGCTAGGTGGCTTATTGGAGAAAGTTCAGGCATTCGTGTATAAATGCATTAGCAAGGCAGCATTTTAAAGGCTATTCCTAGTGAGTTTTGAAAAGACAGTGGTGCTCTACATCCTTCTATTGAAAAACAAAACCAAACCAAACCAAAGCTGGGGTTTTCTGTGTGTATGAGCCCCATCTAAAGCCCTCTTAGCTTGGGTCCCCACCCTGAAACTAGCATTTTCGACAAAATTCTTAAAACTAGAGAAGTCTAGGAGAAAAATAAACAAACCATAGTGAAAATTTGGTTTCAAAACATATAGAATTAAGGCACTGTTACCTAAAATTTTATTGTGAGAGGAAATGAGGTTGTGGCCTCACATTTTCAGCTACTAAACCAATTTAATAGTTCTTACATGAACTCATTTAAAAGTTTTCTAAAAGCCTTTTTTTTAAAAAAAAAAAAAAAAAAAGCTGACAGCATTGAACATTTCTTCACAATTCAGAAGCAAGTGGCAGTGTCGTTCCACGCGTAGGATCCTGTGCCCTCACCCCTTGAGCAGCATATGATTTGTTCTTGGACTAGATCAAGCCTTTCTGTTTTTAACAGCCCACCAGTAAGCTGGTGCCGGTTCTTACTCAGATAGTTCTGTTGTTTAAATTTTTACAAGTTATCATACAGTCCTTAAATTCTTACCACCCATGCTTGAGAAAGCCCAAAGAGCGCGAGAGAAGAAAAGCAAGAAACTACCTTGTAACTTTTTACAGAAGCATAAGGAAGAGTTGTCTTCTGGTTTAGGGGAACTGGAAATGTGGTAGGGACAAATAATGAAAAACTGAGAAAGTAATTTTAACATTAAAGACTTTCCTGTCTTCCTAGAGACTTGCTGGAGATGCCGCACAAAAGATTTCTTTATATAGAGGAAAACTAGCAGGCAGCGAATGTAAGTGGTATGCATGATAGGCATTTATTCCTTTTTTTAAATCTGTAACAAAACAGCTTAAAATAGACATCTGGTAGTTGAAACCTTTTCCACATTTTAAATGCAAATTTATGCCAATAAAAAGATAGTATTTACATTTAATTTCACATTCTAGAAAGGCTGAGTGGCTACAAAAATAAGTGCTATGATGTAAACACCTTCTACTAACTCCATGCTAAATCCTAACTGATTTGATAGAGCTCTTAGAATTGCACAAACACTATTCAGTTGATTACAGATACATTGAGAATGCAAAAATACCCAAACCCAGAGTAAAACCAATTAGGAGTCACCCACTACCGACAAGTGCACTTCGTAGCTATCATATCTTCATACTCTTTGTAGACGATGGAGCCATCAGGCTCTATGGTCAGGACGCTCAGTGGGCTGTATTCGGCAGGAACACAGGAGGGCTTCGGAACAGAGGAGTCCAGTTTCTCGTATATTATGTTCTGTACCATTGTGTGCACAGGAGAGCCGTAACGATGCCCAACGACCCTCGGGCAGTCACCTTTGCAGTACTGAGGGCTGTACCTGTGTGGTGCTATTATCCATTTGTCCCATTTCAGTTGGCTAAAACTTAGACGGAAGTTGTGAAGCTCACACTCATTTTGAGGGAACAGAAATTGTTTGAAATATTCGCTCAGATTATGAGGTGGAGTTGCTGGTGCTTCTTTCAGATTCTCATCTCTTCGACGTCGAGAGGCCCTTTTACCCTGTGAATTCTCTTTTCCTTTGTCACCCATAGGATCAATACGTGGACTGTTCCTTTGCCTGGGCCGCACTGGGTTTTTCCTTCTGTGTCTAAGTGAGTTCCACCTGTGATAAGCTTGCTCACTGGTATCATTCAAATAAAGCAGAAGAGAAGGGGGAACCAGTGCCATATTAATGGGATTTTCCAGTTTAGTGTTCTGTTGTGGATCACCCATCAGACAAGTGAAGTTCACAGCCATATGAATATTCCTCCTGTTAGTAGCAATTAGAGGCTGGAGAAAAGAAGTCACATCAATCTCAACCCACTTGCGTTTTCTAACTTCAGAGTGCAGGCTAAAAGCTACAGAGTGTGAAACGCTGGGACATACTTGGCTAGAAAAATCATGTTCCTTAACAAATAAATGGCACATGCATGTAATGGAAGAAGAAATGGGAACCGATGTGTCAAAGGAATAGAGCAAGACAGACTTGAGTAGGTGCTCTAGAGCAGTAACACGGTCCAGGTTGAAGAGTAAATCCACCGAGTGAACGTCTCCTGAGAAGGGAAACAAAATCTCCTAGAGTTAGTGCATCTTAATTTTCCCCCTAGACATAAATACTGTCATGTAGTGGATAAGTAGAAAAAAATCATCAGCAGAAGACACCAATTTAGATGGCCTCCCTTACTTTTATTATACAGAATTTCTACTTTGGTCAGGGTTATAAGATTTAAAAGTTAAGAAATGACAACAAAACCAAGAAAACCCACGATTTTAAGAGATGTTAGGATTTATTTCATTAAAAAAACCAAAAAAACCAAAACCAAAACAATACAGGAGGAAGTTACCAGTTGTCTTTTCAGTGTTGATATGGGGACACAGAAACTAGACACTCCAGATTATACAAGCCACAAAAGACAATAGCTAAAGTTTTAAAGTGAATGTTTTCAGATCTTTTCAGCATTAACTCAAATTATTCTTCCTACTCACATATTGTTTCCTATTTACATCTCTTGACCAGCAGCTGCCAACAAGTCTGAGTAATGTCAAGGCAGAAATTTATTAGCCCTATTTAAAAAAAAATTATCATTTCATGAGTCTCACTTTGCTTTTCTTTTATGAAACAGAATCAGAGCTTCCAAGCTATTCTGAATGCACATTTCTGTCACATTCACCCCTACTGTAAGATACACTACTCTAATCTTTGCCTCAGTGTTAAGAATTTTTCTGGTATTCTTTGAATTCGCTCCAATTTCCATCTTATTTTGAGATTGATGAACTCATTTCCTGGCCTGTTTTCCAGATGTCGACATAGCATATTTTTAATAGAATGCCTTTTTGACTGTTCACCACTGTATTTTTTCTGTAAATTAGAAATTGCTCATTTTTGACCACACAAATGCATTAAGTGATCTCTTCAAACTTACATATGCCAAATAATCAGAAATTAGGTGAGGGCTCTATAGACCCTTGATAAACTTATGTTTCCTATATTAATGAATGTTTCTACAATCATGAATTTGAATAGCCTCAATAATTGTAGGAAGTTGGTCCAGATTCAGGCTGCTACTTTAATTATTATTACATTTAGGGTACATAATCATGAGATTAACTGTTAATTGTGAGTATATTTCTGAAGCAGTAGATTATATTATGCCAGGAAATTTTAGTCCTGAACACTAATTTATTTTCTTTGATCTTATTTTTTCTTAGTGAATACTTCTTAACTGCACCTCAATCTCCAAGTGCTGTTACTATGCACAAGTATGATATTTGTGTTTAACATTATCTGTCTTCCTAAGTGAAAAAATCCAAGGCAGGAGACGTCAGCTCACTTGTCAGCAGTCCCATAAGTAGAATTAAAGGCCAAGGATTTCTAGCTGCTTTCGCTGTGACCAGCCCACACTTAAGAAAACCATGAAAGCACAGTAAGTTCCAAAGTGCCCAGCCATCCTAGTTTTTCAGTCCTGAGTCTGATTTACAAGTAGTTCTACTCTTCCCTTCAGGGGAGTTACACATTTGGGTTGTGTTTTTTCCCTAGCAAACATACAAGGCAAGGAGAAAAGTCATCTTGCAATGGGCTTCTGGCAGTTTGTTCCAAGTCTCATTACAGTGCTATGCTTTTATGGCCTTGAAAAAAGCAGAACCAAGACAGGCACTAGAGGAAACGTCATGCCCATTATGCCTAACCATTTCTTCCACTGATCTGTCTTAGAACTGATTGTAGAATTTTGTCTGACTCATAATGAGTCAGGCTGAAATATCAACGGTATCTTGAACACAGTACCATTTGTGTGGCAGTTCCCAAACTGTGAAGAAGTCTTTGTCTAACGCCATTCAAGGAGAAGTAGGTTATGAAAAACTCCTACTGTTTAAGAGGAAAACCATCAGGATTAAAATAACAACAACTCTAAAAAAATAAGATATTTTTATACTATGCTGCAAGCACAGAACGCATGGAAAACCCCCATTTAACCTTTGCAGTGGAGGTCACCCCACACCTACCTTTCATTAGGTCCCTGTGGCGATGCTTGCATTCAGAACATGGAGTGAAAAGTCGAACAGTGTTATAGAGGTGGCTTTTGTTAGCCTTGGGGATTCCCTCCTTGGTAGCAGACATCTTATATAGCCTCTTCATGTACCGAAGGGCTCTGGAGTGCGGCTGTAGCCTGGGGGCCTCGCTTTCCCAGTTCTGGTGTCCCCGGTCAGACAGCACCTTGAGAAGGGGAGGCAGGAGGGCATATCCACGTCTCACACCTTTTGGCAGGCGCAGCAATGGATTTAGCTCACTAGCAGCATCCTCAAGAGCTACCAATAACCCAGGGGTCTTGTCAGGGACTACGCGACCCCTGGAGCGCGGGGAACACTGGATGCTAGAAGAAAGCCAATGAAGACAGCAATAGAAACAAACACAAATTCTCCAAGTACTCTCCATGCTCTTTAGGGTTGCAGCTAAAAAAATGCCTCCCCTAAAATATTCAAGAAAAAAAGAGCACCTAAGTCCCATCCCTTATATAAGTCGCAGCTGTGGAATGGGAGGGAGATGTTTTTCTGATTAGAAACCAAAGAGAAAGATCTGCAGCTGTCTGCTGAAACCACATGCTTGTTTGCATTTAGGCTAGAGCCTTTGCCCATGAAAGCATATTATAAACAAAATGCTTATTCTGAGAGTTAACCTTTTTCACATGGTGAATTACAAAACAAGAGCATGTGCCATC